GGCGAGGATTTACGAGGGCTATTTATAGAGCGCAGGAATCCCGGGAAGGCAGCGGGGCCGGCGATGGGGCGGAGCGGGATGAGGAGCAGAGCAGGGACAGCAGCGCTGCCCTGTGTCCCCGCTGCGTGGACAGGGCTGGGCTCACGTGTCTCCGGTGCCAGCCCGGGACGGGCAAGGCCGAGGGGACATTCCCGTGACAGGGTGGTTGGGACTGGCAGCGAATGGCACCGACGGGCGCTGGGGCAAAGACACCCCACGCTGTCCCTGCTCAGGTCCCCGCTCTGCTGTCCCTGGACGGACAGACCGATGTGCACCCGGGCACAGGGCTCAGGGTGCCCCCGGGAAACTGCCGCCAGCACAAAGCAGGACAAAGATTTTTGGCAAGTGGCCTGGGAAAATGAGACCCCCGCAGCCCAGCCCAGCCCCAGCCCGGCCCTGCGAGGGCTGCCCAGGGCCAAGGCAGGGACAGGAGGTGCGGGAGGGACGGGGAGGACGCGCGGACGGTGCTGTCCCCTCGTGGCACAGCTCGTGCATGACACGCCGGCACAGGAGCAGGGACACCCAGGGTGGCCTGGGATGCTCATCCTGCACCCACCACCAAAGCCACCAGGGCGGATGGGACCTCAGGGCGGCATGGCCAGGTCACCCCTGCCACCTCCCACGGGTTGCACAGCAGTGGGTGTGCAGAGATGCTCAGAGGAGCCACCTCTGCCTGGCCAGGCCATCCCAGGGCTGGGGAGGAACATGAGAGGCACAGGAGGGATTCAACACAAGGGTGCAACCCAGACCCCAAGTGATACTCTCCAGACCCACAGCTCTCTCCAGTCCCAGGAGGGTAAAATACAGCGATCCACAGGGGAAAAAAAGAGCTGCAGCAACCACAGAGATCAGTCCCTCAAGTGCTGAGCACCCTGAGCCATGGAAGGATTGTAGAGGGCAATAACCCCCTCCCCAGTCCCCAGTGCCATCCATGCCCTCAGGAGGGACATGGACAGTTTTGCTGCCTTCACACCACCTGGGCTGTGGTTCCAGCAGGACACACATCCCATCGCTGCCAGCTGCCAGGCACCAGCTCAGCACTAACGTGGGAAAAGCGGATCCAAACACAGAGCCTCACACTCCAAACACCATCTGCCTCCCATTAGCGCCCTGCCAGCACTGCTGGCAGCCCAGGACCAGCCACCACACGGGACAAGCCGTCCCACACACCCTCCAGCAACAACAATTTTAGCAGTGTTCCCAGTTTAGCAGGGCAGCAGCCCGGCGCCCGGCAGGGCTGGCAGAGCACTGAACAGCCCTTGTGTGTGTGGCACACGTGGGTCACCTCACCCGCAGAGCCCTGGGCACAGTGCCAGCTGGCCACACACTGGGCTTTGGGGCTTGCAGGTGATCGTGGCTCGTGGGTGGATTTTCCAGCTGCAACACACCAGCAAGCACCTCCTAAGGACGTTCCCCGACTTACACGTGCTGCTCCTCTTGCAAATAAAGAGCAAGTGGCACCAACCCAGGCTGTGACAGCCCTGGGCACACACAGTCCACAGCTACAGCCAGACTGCAGGATGTCTCAGCAAAAACAATTCAATAAAAAATTGCTGGTTTCACTCTGGAGTTGCCTCCACAAAGTGACCTGCCCCTGCCCCCAAACGTGACCGCAAGGTCGTACATCCCCCCGCACTGCTGCAAACCACGCCCCGCACAGCACATCACCCTTCCTCGCGGGATGCTGCGGTCCTACCTTTCCAGGTATTTTTCGGAAAAGTCCACCATGGCGCGGTACATGGGGCCGGCAGCGCTGCCGGGATGGGAGGCGAGTGCCGAGCCCCGGCACTGGCACCATAAATACCCCCGCGGGCGGCTGGCACAGCCAATAGCCGGCTGTGCGATGGCAAGAGGCTCCCCAGAGCATCCACTGCCGGCTCAAGGTGAGGAGAAAACCCTCTGTGCAACCGCCCCTGACCCCGCTAAGCCGGGGGGGCTGAGCCTCCCCCCGCCAGCCCGATTCCCCCAGCGCCGCAGGGACACGCGGACAGAGGGACGGCCCTGCTGCAGGGATGCGTTTTCATTTCAAGTGCTGGGGGGGAGAATAATAAAAAGGGCTAAAAATAGGCGGCTGCGGCGAGGAACACGCGGGACAACAGTGCCGCTCGCTGGCAGGAGGCACAGCCGGCCGGGGCGTCGAGCTGCGTGCACAGCCCCTGTGCTCGGCCCCCTCGCACCCCCCGAGCCGCTCACACCACGTGCAGCTCCTCCACCTGCCCGCAAACACGTGTCCCAGGGCACAGGTCCCAGCCAAGGGGACCCCTGTGGCCGTGACACCCCAATCTGGCGTCCAAAACCAGAGGCGGTGCGTTCCCAAACATCCTCCCCCCTTCGGCTGCAGCTGTGCTCATGGCAAGCAAAGGCCACGGCTGCCTTGTCCTTGCCCAGAGCCACTTTTTGGCAGCCCAAAGCCTTACCAGGAGAGGTGGAGGGGCTGCCAGCGTGCCTCAGTGGTCCCCGTGCTCACCGCTCCCACCACGCTGCCCGCGCACAGCGATGTGCGAGGTTTGGAGCCTGACCCGCAGTGGGAAACCCCCCCATTCCACCTCCCCATTCCTCCTCCCGGCATGGGGCCAGCGGGAAGGAGGCCCCCAGCTCAGATTTCACCATTTGCATGTCCTCTCCCTGAACCCTGGAAGCTGTTTTCCCCCAGGCCACCAGCAAGAGCTTGTGTCTTCCCCCTGTCAAAGAACAGGGGTGCTCCCAAAGGGGCTGTGCAATGTCCCCAGCACTCCACCACCATCCTCCCCAAAAACCACTCTCTGTCTGAAGTGAGCCCTTTTCTGTCCAGAAAAGTTTGGGGGAACAAGACAGGGAGGACCCCAAAGGCTGCAGGGACCAGTGAGGCTCAGAAGAGGTGTCTGACCCCACAAACAGCCCTGGTACACCCTGATGCCACCCCAATGTGACACTTACAGGCTCCTGCTCCGTTTCTTGCGGGAGGTCTCGTCCCCTTCATCACAGCTGCACTCGGGGTCGGCTCCACTCAGCTGGGGGGGAACAGAGAAACAGAGTCTGTCTCATCACACCAGCACCCCCCACAGTGTCACTCTGTGTCACCAACCAGCAGGGCCAGCATCCCCCGTGGTCCCTGCAGACACACAGCCCAGACCCATGGCATCCACAGGACTCCTTTCAATGGCAATGCAACAGGACCAGCTCCTCTCTGCTCTGGCATGGGAACTCCCCCACTCATCCTGTGCCACCTTCAGTCCATGGTGTTCCTGGAGCATCCAAGGAGATGCCACAGCTGGTGGCCCAGGTACCCTCCAGGTTCAAGATGCTGACAGTGGTACCTCCTGTGGGGAGGACACCCACATCCCCATTCCTGATGCTCCTATTCCTGCTATCTTGAGTAGGCACAAGAACCCCTCCCCAGCCTGCAGAGCCCCCCAGAAGCAGGCTGGGCATCCAAAATCCATCAAGAGTCCCCCAGAAGTCCCCAAGCAGGAAGAAATCGGAGCAGTTCAGCCATAACTGAATCATATAATTGCAGTTTTCAAGGTCGAGGAACACCCAGAGGGCTGCACTCCCTGACCACCACCCTAGGGCAGCCTGGGCAAACCAAGGGGACCTGGGATGTGCCACAAGCTCAGGGCAGCACCAGTGCAGCCCCCGAGTCACAAAGCCTGGGGCCGAGGGGGCACCCCTGGGATCACCACAGCTCGGGGGCTTCAGCAATCGTTCCATTGCAGAATGAGACTTGGAAGATGCTCACGGCCGGCCCCGCATCCGGCCCCACCCCACAGCCCGCTCATCCCCGCGCTCCCGGGGGCTGCCAGGCGCTTTCCAGGACCATCTCCCGGCGGCCGGGCCGTGGGAACCCTCTGCACGGCCCCGCAGCGCCGGGCCCGGGGCTTCTGACACTTCCTTCCATTCTGCGCCCGGCTTTCCGGAGCTCTCCGGCCCCGAACAATGCGGCCCTCGCGGAGCACCTTCCCCGGGCACATCGGCCCGGCCCGGCCGGGGCCACACGCAGCCGGGGCCGCTTCCTGCCATTGTCCGGACAGGCTCGGGGACAAAAGGCAGCGGCGGAGCTCGCCCGGGGAGTCCCAGCGCTGCCGGCCACAATGCCTTCCCAAAACAACCCCCTCCCAGCCCCGCCGCGGGGAGCAGGGGAGAGGGGAGGCACAGCGGGCACCATGGCATTGAAAAGGGACACGAAATGAGCCCCTCTGAAACGCTCCCAGAGGGGGAAAACAACCAAGAGCCTTGATGAATGTGGTGGCCCTGGCACAAAGGTACTTGGCAGCTGAGTGGGGATCCATATGGGAATTGTACATCACTGTCCTGCTTCAAAAACCTCAGAGGTTTCATCAAACTATTCAAAGGCACAGCCCAACAAAAGTCCCTTCACAGCGTAGGCAGGAGGGTGGCAGTAGCCCAAAATCCCATGCATGTGGTGGCCCAGGACCATGCCCAGCTCCCCTGACCACTGTGGACCCTCTGCAACCAGCCAGAGTAGGTGATGGGAGCAGGACAGTGGGAACAGGACAGTGGGAGCAGGACAGTGGGAGCAAGTAGTGGGATCAGGCAATGGGAGCAGGACAGTGGGAGCAGGACAGTGGGAACAGAGTGATGAGAGCAAGCAGTGGGAGGAGGGTGACAAGAGCAGGCGATGGGTGCAGGCAGCCCATGGGAGCAGGCAGTGGGAGCAGGCAGTGGGAGCAGGGCAACAGGAGAACAGGAGAAGGGCAATGGGAGCAGGCAGAGGTGCCCCAGGAGGGTACGTGGACAGTGGCTTAAGGCTCCAGGCAGCCAGAGCTGCTGCAGGGCTGGAAGCAGGAGTTGCAGGAGGTGCAGCCACCACACTGCCCTCACCACCAGCACGGGCTCCCCGATCCCTGCTCCAAAAATCCCAGCCTCATCTGCACCAGAGCAGTTCAGTCCTGGAGGAGCTCCATTTATCCACCCAGATGAGCCCAGGAAGTGCAGCTGGAGCCCCCCGGGGCAGGAGCGGGGTCCATTCCCATTGTCCCTCGGCAGTGTCACACAGCCCAGCCCGCCCCGGCAGCGCTGGAGCAGCGGCAGAGCTGCAGGCCCGGGGCTGCACACACAGGGGCACTGTGAGCCCTCCTTCCAGGGACTGTCACAGCAGCACCAACGGGACCGATCAGCAGGCACTGACACTGCCACCACCTCCCTCTGCGTCTGCGACAGGCAGTGAGGGTGTCCCTGACACAAAGGTGACCTTTCTTGATGGGGGGAGGGAAGGGGGCAGGTTTGAACCCCCCAGCCCAAAAACATCACCCTCCAAGAGGGTTTGGGCTACCTTTAGGCACAGCAGCATCATAAGAGTGGTGCTGTCAGCCTGGGAAGGGCTCTCACCAGCTGGAAGGGGACTCTGAGCACAAAAAGTGCTCCAGGAAACAGCATCAGAGGTGGCTTCTCAAGCAGCAACAGCTTGGCAGGAAGAGGGTTAAGCACACCGTGGTTTAACCCCATCATGGGTTTAACCTGAGCGTGGGTTTAACCCCAGGACTCTGTACCAGCCTCCACCGAGCAGAATGTGACCCTGCTTTCTACAAGGGGATCCCGAGGGGCATGACATGGTCCTCAGCTGGGCAATGAGATCCTGAGCTGGGCAATGAGGTCCTGAGCTGGGCAATGAGGTCCTGAGCAATGCACTGCAGTCCTGTGCCAAGCACTAGAGCCTTGGGCAGCACCCACAGCTGTGGGGCAGGAGGACGGAGCTGGTGTGGGCTCAGCAGGGCAGAGCAGAGTGTGGGGCTGGTGCCATGGGAAGGCCACTCTCAGCACCCACTGGGGTCACCCAGGGAGAACAGGAACAGCAGCACTTCCCTTGTGTGATCTCTGCAGTAGCACATTGTTTCTTGCAAAAGCACAGCCAAGGCCAGCTCTGCTCTGGGGGCACAGGGAGTACCCCAGACCAGTCCCGTGCAGAGCTCCCTCAGCACGGCCTCAGCTGCTCCTCCTGCATGGCAGGGTCAGACATCATTGCTGACCACAACTATTCTCTGAGATGGGCCCCTCAAAGCCGTGCAAGAGGCTGGTTGGGCAGAGACCCACACTGCTCCTGGCATCCCCTGCACCCTGGGGAACACTGTCACCAGAGGCTCTCTGGAGCTCAGCTTTTCCCTGTCCTCACTGCTGCTGTGAGCAGCTCTTTGCAAGCACAGACACCTTTGCCTCCTCCAGTCTCAGTGGGAGTGGCTTCCCAGGATACAGGACCCTGCAGGGTCTGGACACACTGGTGGGAGATGCCCCCCACGGCCCCAGCACACGGGCTCTGGGTGACATCCCCGGGGTGTTAAACATCTCCCAGAGCAGGCTGACAGTGGCAGGGCCCTTCCTGACCCCTCAGGGTGGCCATGGAGTGATGGGCCACATGCCAGGATACCTCCATCCCAGGAGTGTCCCCCCACAGCCAGGCGGAGCCAGCACCCCCTCTCATACCTTCCTGTGGCCCGAGAACAGCAGCGTGAGCTGGTGGATGGAGCCGCCGTTCTTGACGAGCTCCTTCTTGAGGGTCCTGGGGGAGGGCAGTGCCCAGCGGGCCGTGGTGCCCTGGCTGTCGGAGCAGTTGAGGGTGGTGTCCGAGGTGAAGCAGTGCCCCTTGGCCTCCTGCAGGAGGCTGCCCTCGCTGTGGGTGCGGCGCCGCAGGGAGCCCTGCACGCTCAGCGTGTACCCGGGCTGGCAGCCCGACGTCTCGATCATGCTGCTGCGCTTCACCTCGTTCCTCTCCAGGTACTGCTCGTCACTGTCCTCCTCCTCGTCCTCCTCCTCCTCATCTTCCTCCTCCTCATCGTCGTCCTCCCCGTCCGTGGTGCTGCCCGCCACGCCGGCCGCGCTCTGGCTGAAGGTGCTGTCGAGGCGCAGCTCCGGGATGACGAAGGCTGGCAGGGAGCTGGGCTGCTCCTCTCCCTTTGCAGTGGCCACTGGCTGCTTTTCCACCAGGAGAGGGCCCTGGGTGGCTCCCAGGGCATCCCAGGGCTCGGCCGGAGCCGGTGCCTCGGCAGCCGGAGGAGCATCACCCACGGTTGCCTTCCCGTCCTCCGAGTGCATCTGCCCCGGCTTCTCCGTGTCTGTCTCCAGCATCTGCCCAGAGGAGAAGACAGGAAAGGATGAAGGCAGCAGCACCCCAAATCTCTCTGGCCACCTGCCTGGGCAGCCTTTCTGCTCCTACCATCCCAGCTCCAAGGCTGGCACAATGTGTACAACCCTAACGGTGCTCCGGCGGGGTGGGATGGCATTGTTCCCATGTCCCCAGGTGGTGCCAAGCTGCTCTGCCCTCAGCTGCTCCTGATCCCTGGAGCACTGGGTTCTCCCACCTGGCAGGAGTGGGATGGGGCCACCCAGCTCCCCCCTCCAGCACCCAGCAGCACAGGTGGGTTCTGAGGAATCCCAAAGTGCCAGTGCTGGGTGGCTCAGCCCAGCAGTGCTGCCAAGCTCAGCTCCAGCCACATCATCCTCACTCTGATGGCTCCAGGTCTCCTGGGAGCTGCTGGAGGGGCTCAGCCCTGCAGGGATCTTCCCCAAGGGCAGCAGAGACATCCAGCAGCTCTGTCCAGCAGCTCCAGCCCCTCCTGCACCACGTTATTAAATGCTGAAGGGAAGGGCTGGACTCTGTCCATCTCTGGATTGCCCAAGCTCAGCCCAGCCACGGCTGGGGCTCCCCAGCAAAACCACAGCCACTCTCATCAGCTTAAAAACCTTCAGGATGGTTTTTCCAGCTTTCCTCTGCTGCTGGGAAAGGCCTGAGCAAGCTCTGTCCTTTTAAAGGGAAAAACCAAGAGTAGCTGAAGGGAAAAACCTCCAAGGTTTTTTTTTTTGTGAGCAGAGGGAGGGAGCCTGCGATGAGCCCTCCCCTGCCAGAACGGGGTCCTGTGGGATTTTTCCATCTAAGCTGAAGGGGTAAAAACAGCTCAGCAAGGAAAGAAGACCAAAGGAGAGAAAAATCCTCCCTTTGGGAAGCAATTCTCACCTACAGAGATCGTGTAGGGATGGGCCAGGGGCTGTTCCACAGGAACACCCCCAAGTAACAATTCACCCAGAAAAGAAGTGACTGTATTCCCAGCTGAGTCCAAGCCTTTTCACCAGCCTGATGGCAACCAGAAAGCTGGAGTTAGCAAAGCCATCCCCTCTGTATAAATTAAGTTGACTTCAGCTTCAGAAAGAGTAGCAGCCCTGGGAATCGACCCATCTGGCCTCACCTCCCATTGGGAAGAGGCACACATGGAGCAGACAGAGCTTGTATCCCTGTTGGGGGTCCCACCTCGTGACAGCAGAGCCCTGTGAGCCACCCCTGGGACAGAACAGGGGTGTGGGGATGACAGCCCACCCCTGGCTATCCCCAGGCAGCTGTGTGCAGATGTTGGGCTGCTGCTGTGACACCCCCAGGGAACACTGGAGGGGTGTGAGCCCCACTCTGCACAGAGGGGACAGTCGGAGACCGTGGGCACCCCGCAGCACCCACGGGCACCTGCCTGAGCTCACGGGTCAAAGAGCCAGCCAGGTTTCCAGAAAGATGCTGGAGTTCAGTGCCACAGCCAGTGGGCAGCACACAGAGGAGCTCACACATGTCCACCTGTGTGTGCCTTGTCCCTTTTTGTCACACCCACAGTGTCCCCATGGCACCTGTAGCACAGAGAGCACCCG